CTTCTGGAAGGAGAGCCCCAGTTCAAGCCACGGTTTGCTCTTTCCCCTCCAAGATGGAGGCTTTGGGAGGTTATCCTACCAGGTCCTCCAACCCAAAAGCGAAAAAGTTAACTGTGCTGTTGAGCATGACGGTGGGTGTGGGGTGTTTATTTCTTCTGCAAACCCAGCTGGTGAAACCCAGAAAACCGAAGGATTTTTATTCTTTCGAGGTGAAGGACGCGAAAGGGAGGACGGTTTCTCTGGAGAAGTACCGAGGAAAAGTACGTCCACATCATCAGCCGTCGTTTCAGACTGAGAATAAATCTGTTTAACTGTTTAACTTTCCCCGTGTCAATTTAGACTTGATTTATTTGCAGAGTCTGTATTTTTAAGAGCTTTCTAAAATAACTGTGCACTGCGCCTAATCCCCTCCTTTGCAGGCGTCCTTAGTTGTAAACGTGGCGAGTTACTGCCAGCAGACGGAGGCGAACTACAAGTCTCTACAGGAGCTCCACCGGGAGCTGGGCACCTCTCACTTCAACGTCCTGGCCTTTCCCTGCGGACAGTTCGGGGATACGGAGACCGGAACCAGCCGGGACATCGAGGTTTTCGCCAAGTCAGCCTACGGCGTTACCTTTCCTTTCTTCAGCAAGATCAAAATAATGGGATCAGAGGCTGACCCTGCTTTCAAATTCCTCACAGGTTGGGAGAAAGGCTTTTAACGAATATCATGACTGTGGGATCACTGAGTGAGATCACAGAAACGCTGATTACATATTTATACCTGCTCCAAGTGCAGGATGTATTTAAGGATGGAAGGAAGTCAAATTTGGAGCTGTCACCAAAACTCAAATACTTAACAATTGGTCTCACCTGTATTCCAGGTACAAGTGTTGATAGTCTAAAACCAAACTAGATTAGGCAAAGCCTACTTTTACTTCATCTGAGAGGAAAATAATCTGTTACTGTTGCAAAATGTGGAGATGAACGTAAAGTTTTGTATTTTTTCAATCACCCCAGGGTAATTTAATGAGTTTTTATGAACATGATGCACCTGAAAGAAGACCTGCAGAACAAGTCTATGAACTCCAGAGGTAACTGGAATATAAAGTATGGTTCTGATCTATTCTGTGATTACAAGACTTGATGGTATAAAATTGAATCAATTCAGTGTCATATCTGCTAAGTAACAACTTCATTTATGTTTGTAAAGCAGCAGAACTGACATTCTGCTCCATGCATTAGAATCTGTTTTTATTAATTAGCTGTATTTTTACAGTTACAGTTAATATTATTAATATACAGTAACACAGCAGTCGTGGTGAGCTATAATGATTAGCAGTAGCCAAGGGGAATGTATCATTTGAATTAATGCTATTACAGCATATGAACATAAGTATGCACATTTGAGTTTTTTAGTATTAGGTTTTCACTTGATTTTCTTACAACACATACATTTTTCACTGCACTATCAAATTAAATAACATTGAAATAATACTATAGGATTGTGTAGCTATTTTATTTTATTCTTATTTTATTTATTTAATATAATTTTTTATGCATGTATTATTTTTGATTTGATAGTGTCCACTTCTGTTAGGAAGTAGCTAAAAGGAGTTATTGGGGTTCTTTTTTTCTGTCGTCGTGGTACTCTGCTATTAAGTTATTAAATTAAGGCATCTGGTATTTTTGGTATTTTAGCATCTTATTTTAGCATCCTGTAATCTACCTAACTGTCAGTGTTTAAGCATATTTTAGACCCTAATGTGTCTGTCTCTGTTTTATCCTGGTTTTACCTTTGAGGAATATTTTTTGTCTTCAGTGTGTAAGAGTTTGTTTTACTATATGGAAACTGAATTACTTGTTGCTGCCCATCTTGGGCAAACAATTTTAAAGATAAGTTTAAAAAAAAAAATTAAAGAAAGAAAGAAATGTAGCATTAACGACTGTTCTGCGACATCTTGTTTGTTTTTCAGATTCTGTGAAGAAAATTCCAAAGTGGAACTTCTGGAAGTTTCTGGTGAACCCAGAAGGGAAGGTGGTTCGATTCTGGCGAACAGAGGAGCCCATGGAAAGCATCAGAGAAGAGGTCACAGCGATGGTGCGGGAAATCATCCTAAAGAAACGAGTGGAGCTATGATGGCCCCTAGTGATCGGTACTGGACATAGCACTGCTTTATGTCTGTGTTTCCTGAGCTGTGGCAGCCAGGAAGAACTGAACTGTTGACAGTGAGTGTTGCTTGGAGAGGGTTGTCGTTCCAGAAAGATGCAAGATGAAAATATCAGGCAATCACCGTGATGCAATGCAAGTCAGAGTGTGTGTGCGTGTGTAAATGAGTGTATGTGGGGAAGTTTATTCTGTGGTCAATGATGAGCATTTCTTATAATGACCACTGCTGCAGCTGCAGTGGTTATTTAGCTTTTCAGTTGTTGGCATTTTGAAATGTTCAGCTTTCCTTCTTTTCATCTCTCCAGTGTTTACATTAAAATCTTTTTTTAAGAGGAAGCAAATTAATTGAGCCTGATTTGACTGATTTGAGCCCAGCAAACTGTGCAGCATCTATCCAACAATAAAATGCTCTCATAAGTATTTGATTTAACTAATGACTTTGAAGATTTTTCATTTAGATGTCCTGTGTTGTGGGTATCAAGCATCTTTCTTAACTGAATAATTAAATCACATTACACATTAGCTGCTAATGTTAATGCATTGATATTAAGGCCATCTCCTTAAATATGGTGCTGATACCTTCCATGCTGTAGTTGATTTTTCTGAATATTTATGGCTATGAGAAAATAATATAAAATAGACAATAGAATCAATGAATTGCATCTTAGTACTGACAGCAGTGAAGGGTGACTATACAGACATCACTGTTGGTGTGGATTAAATGGACAGTTGGAGGGCAGCAGCAGGTGAGCTGGCACAGGAAGAAACTACCAGCTAACAAGACACTGCCTTCCAGCCAGCCACAATTCAACAGCTTTACTTTCATCTAAACTATCCTTTATAATAAAAAAAAAAAGATATTTTCTTTGCAGCGTTTGCAAACATTTAAAAGATATATTGATCAGCTTTTGAGGCATTAGTGTGACCCAAAGTGAAATGTAACTGTTAAAGTAGCAGAGCAGTGTGAGCTGGCTGAAGAAACGTCAGCTAACATTACACTGCCACCCAACCAGCCACAACACATCTGTCCATGTAAATGCAAATGCGTGGATTTGACTGCGCTGTACCGACGTCCAGCTGCTCATTTATCAGTATGCAAAATGTAGAATTGTCTCCCAGCTTTACTCTCGGCTGACTTCTTATAATATAATATAATATAATAAGAAGCGGGTTACGTGGCAGTGTCGGCAAACATGTTTCAGGTGAGTTGACAGTAGCAGTGAGGAGCGCAGCTGACAGCTGTCAGTCAAATAGCACAGCCAGCAGCAGTACACTGCCGCACTGACACTGCAAGATCAGCAGAAAGAGGAAGGAGGCAGCCAACAAATGAAGCGAGAACATTTCTGATTATTTGAATGCCAGTTTCACTTTAGTTCCCCCTCTTACCTTGAAGGGAAAGTGCCGCTTTCCTGTAAAATCTCGCAACATCCTCCTCCTGATCATAAAAACAAAAACACCACAAGCTCAGCTCATCATCACGCGAAACTAGTTTCTAACATCTTAGTCTGTGCTTTCAAAGAGTTATTCACCAAGGTGAGGACAATTTCAAGTATGCTGCAATTAATATAAGTGACTGTGTGTTTTGGGTTTTTGTTTGTTTTTTCTACACCACTATAGCACATGCTGTGGTTAGAAGAACCCAAATAGGAAGACTCCCTGTGTTTAGTGTTTGAGTTGCCTGGTAGCAGCAACAGCAACCGATCCTAAGTAACATATAACATGTCTTGACTGCACTACTGAGGCTATTTTAATTGCCCGCACCTATGTTATAACTTACTTACCCATCTGCGTGAATCTTCACTCCAGCGTTTCAGGCGCATCTTCCATTTCCTTCATTTAAGCATGCCCCAGTCCCCACTATCTCAGTCCTCCCTATCTCAGCCCAAGTGAGGACACTGACCGGTCATGTCTGGTGCACCTGTTGTCTCCTCTCCTATATACTCTCGCTGGGCGGACGCTGGAGCGGGAAGCAAAGTCCTCTGCTGTGCTATTGGCAGTTAGGTCCATTTCCCCCCTGTTTTTAATTAAGCGGCCTATAGACTCGCTCCTATTCAGGGATTCCCTTCGCGTCCTGGTTTCTAATGGAAACAAACAGACAAAGAAAGAAAAAGAAAAGAACAACGCGGTAATGTTATAAAGGTGGAGGTGGCTGCGTGTTATCAGTTGATGCCCTAACTTAGACAAGGACAAACTACTTCACCTTCATTTCTTTAGGGTGGTGTCAGTTTGCACACCTAATCACATGGTTTACAGATGCAGGCTTTTATTCAGCTTGTTATGTCGCTGAAGAAAGCATAATTTTAAATATAAAGGCTAATGATGATTATCGGCTATAATTACATTAGGAAAGAGGTAGGATCGTGCAGTTTAGCACCTTTAAAGCACACGAAAATTTATTGTAAGTAAATCACAAATCCTGAAAACATGCCAAAACAAGAACTGAGACCCTAGAGCGAATAGCCTTAAATATTTTGCATGTTAAGAAATACAATTAGTATTATTTATATATTTATTTATTGCTAAATTGTAGGCCTAATAAGTTGTTTTAGATGTTTGGAAGTGAATTCAAACATCAGCAAATTTTGACAACACATACTAATAAACACTCCGCAAACTGCAGATTTTACTGATTGGATTTAATGCGTTGTCATAAACCTGTAACAGCTCCTCTGGTGGGCAATCAGTGGCCGTGTTTTGCGGGTAAAGGCCCTGTATCCGCGGGCCACACCGTTTAATGAGGAGCTACTCTGGCGCTAAGTGGGCCGAACGGCGCGAGAGCACGCACGTTCTTGCCACCTGCCACTTCCATATCGCACCTCGAGTGCGAGCCCGGGACAGTGCGCCAGGTGCTCCATCAGGCTGTCATAGAGTCCAAATGATAGACATAAAAGGTTAAGCTCTCAAGATAACCCACAGTAACCTTTAATTTATCATCACGTCCAACAGAAACAACAACAACAACAAACGGCTCAGTGTTTGTTATTTTTACTTTTAACCTGGAACATCCACAAATCTGTGGCAGAGCAAACAAAATTACCACATAGCGTACTATAATCTAAATCCATCCAGTTCTCATTCATAAAATAAAAATGGTTAAACTAGTTTTGTTTTGTTTTTTGTCATTAGTATAAAATGTATCAAATGTAAACAGCCTGCATTTTCATGTAATATTTTATTTAGTCAGTTCATTTAAGTTTTTTAAATTAGTTAAATGTGAATTAGCTTTCATTTGCCCAGAACCTTACACGTCTGTATCCCACCACAGGATCAATGCGTATTTTTCCCGCTGGACTCCGTCAGGCTTGCAGCCTCTCTCCAGGTTTGAGTTTAGTCACCTTAGAAACGCATTGTGTCTGTATTTTCCTTTCTCCTCCCGCATTGTTCCCCGCAGTTTGGCGGTAGCTTAACAGGTCAAAAGTATCACAGCCAGCTTATACAATGCTTTGCCCTGTGCCATGCTCTCACCAGCGGTGCTGGTCAGATACAAAATCATTTGTTTGCTGTAAAAGTGGCTCAAGGCCCGGCTGGATGTCGAGCTCTAATGTTTCTATAATAAAGTGGCTGAAATTGGACATTAAGCATCAGATTGTGGCCAGGGTTGGCCAGTATGTAACAAGGGAAGTAGGATGGTTTATTATTGGGCTATCTGCATCTATTTAGAAGCAGGTGGACAGGTCAGATGTAAGAATCTGCCACACTGACTTGCTGAATGACAGATGTTTTGTAACACTTCTTCTCCTCATCCTTTTACTCTTCCTCATTACTTTCTCTCTCTCCTTGAACAAAAGGAACACAGCTCAGCTTTTGTATGTGATCGATTAAAAGTCACTGTTATGTGTAAAACCTCACTCTCCTCACCATTAAGTTTCTTCTTGTTGAAAGTTAAACACCACATTTCTTCTGCAATGACTAAATTGATTTAAACTGGCTTTGCATTACAGAGAAACTTTTTAAAGCTGGATTTAAAAAAAAAACAAAAAATCAGTCAAGTGGTCTTTAAGTATAAATTTGCTATGAGTTATTTATCGGTTAAATGCACCTCAACTTCCCTTAGTGGTGTAACTTTCCATGGTCTTTAAATAAATAGTCAGGCCTGTGTTAATCAGGTCTCCATCTCGCTATCAGGTTCTTCTTATCTGCACTCGCTGTGTTAAATGCGGTGTTCATGACAGCAGGAGTGTCAGTACTGTAAACTGTCCCCAGTCAAGGGTCTGCACTGTTGCCTTCACTGCTGTAAAACAAACAGGCCCTGGTTGTGGAAGTTTATACAGGTGCCTGACCTGAGATTGTCAAAATGTCTTGTGTACCAGCCAGGTTCTTACAGCTAAAGATTTCAACAGTGAGGTGGAAGAAAGATTTTCAAAGGTCAAGAGGTAACATCCTCTTTAGATAAGTTAATCTCTTCATCTTGGTTTAATTTCCTTTTTGTTTTGATTTTGTCTGGTTTATGGTGGCTTGGGTTTGTTTTTTGTGTGTTAAATCCAATTTTCTGTTTGTTTGCTTTTTTAGATAAATGACACAGCTAAAGTCTTTCCCTCTGGGTATACTGTTTATACAACTATTGTGTTAGCAGTCAGGTTCATAAGAGTGATAAGTCAGGAAATACAGCCCCCAAAAAAGAGAGAATCTGTTTAAATTTCCAAAAAGGATATAAACAAGGATGTTGGCTGCACTACATCAATGCTCTGTCCACACTTTCAGGCCACACAGTCACTCAGACAGAGACAAAGCCCCTGCTTCTTAAAGCAGGTCATAGGGTTACATTTGTTTCACTGCTCAAACAAGAAAAGTTCACAGTTTATTTCCATTTGCCTAATTATAACCTAAGCTCCCTTATCATCTTAAAAAAAAAAAAAAACTCGAGTCAGCTACATGAAAATGTACACATTGTTTTACAGTTTTAAAAACATTTTTATTTCCAAATATGTAAAATCACTGGCATTTTCCAGGACAACAAATATATAGCGAGATGCAAACATAAACAAATATTAAACTATGTAAACCAAAACGCAATGTAAACAACAGCTTGGGCAGTTTAATTTCCTTTGTTAAGCACCTCTTCTCTGAATGATTAGCTTTCAAGCTACCTGAGGAAGACATCAATGAATCACTTACAGATATCACTATAGATTATAAGTTAAGCATTAACAGTTGCAGCCCACACATACACTTCTGTCCACCCAACAGAATTAGGGCATCTGCATATGACTAATCAGAGCCACATAACAACTCCAGCTTTATTTGCTAATCTCTCATTTCAGCTTTGTTTGGGAACCCAGCGAAAGCGGTATCCTCCTTGCTGAGTCCTTGAGGTAAAGGCATGTCCATGAGGAAAGACCTGAGTTCTTATAGTGCTGTGTTCTCTGACAGAGGTCCTAAAAGATGAGACACTCTCTCCAGCTTCTGCTGCATCCACAGTCATGTTGCTGTCTTTAGCTATGGATGTCTGCAGGCCTGAGAATGCACCATACATGGATATTGTCTTTGATTCCTGTTGCAGCCTTGTTTCTGTAGAGCTGCTGTGAAGTACAGCATTGCAGCGTGTGCTAATATCCCTCAACATGTCCTCCACTGAGTCAGAGGATTCAGTTTCATATCCTTCATCCAGTCGCTGGCGCTTACAAGGACTCAGTGAGGTTTTATCACCACCATAAGGCATTACTGGTTCTTTTACATTTGAGTCTCTGACTGTCATCAACTTCTGAAAGAAAATGATCCAAATTAAAGACTAAAAAGTTTAAAGATTAAAAAGTTTGAAACACAATTTATGACAATACAACCAAGAGGTTACATCATATACATGATAAATACTGATTTGACTTCTCACAGTTCTGAACTTACTTCAAGCACAGAGGCTAGGTGCTTTGCTCGATTAGCCAGCTGCCTGAGGTGAACATTTCTTTCTTCAAGACAGTCAATCTCGTCTTGTTGCCTTTGGAGGGACTCGTGGAGCTGCAAGCATACAAAGCAAAATATTTTCTGTAATGTGTTCATCTTTAATAATTATTTTATTTTTTAATGTTGGGATAACTAAGTTTGTTTTTAGATGTGGACAAACAGTTATTTCAAATGTACCTGAAATTTACCTATGCATGTAGGTTTTCCACAAACTCTCCATTGTATACCTTTTAAACCAAACTGGGTTCTGATCAGGATAAGGTATTGGATATTATAGCAGGTAAATAGGTTTATATAACTAAATCATTAATATAGTTATAATTTTTAACAATTATAATTTCACAATTTAGATCCATTATAGTCCAAATTACATCAAACTTTGTATCACCATTTACATCATTTGTGCAGTAATGCTCCATAAGACCTTACCTGTTTGTTGACTGCTATGCTATGTCCCAGTGCCTTTCCATGACACTCTGCTATCCCTTTCCAGGAATCTCCATCCTGGGCATCTGGGTTGCCTGTTTCTGCAGATGAGTTAACCAGACTGTCTTCTGGTGAAAGGTTGTGCTGAGGGGTGAGGGGAGGTATAACATATCCTTGAAAAGGTACCAGCTCAGCTGAAGACAAACTGCTCTCCAGGGTTGTAGGCGAAGCTGACAGAGAAGACAAGAACCCAAGGACTTAGCCAACGTGATTTTGGAGGTGCACGATTTTAACTGTATTCATGTCAATATAAAAGTAACAATAGCGATGAGCAGCACCCCAGCGGTGTGGAAGGTTTAGTTTTCTCACCTGCCATGAAATCCAGCCCATATTCTCCAAAATCCTGGTCATTTGCATCCAATTCCTGTGTGGAAATAAAAATGACGATCAGCATTAGCAGTATTTCATATAAACAATTCGGTTTAAAATAACGAAAAAGAAAAACGAAAACGTGCATAGCAGGTTTACCTGAAAATCAAACCAGGAAAAATCAGGGCAATACGATGTTAAAGCAGAAAATGTATTAGTTGACATTTCAGTCAATATGTTTTCGTGTCGTCGCGTTATGAGCTCACGCTTGTCTGTGTCAGCTCGTGGTAAAAGACTGGACCATTTTCTAGCGTGTGTGTCATGAGTTAAGTACAATGACATTCGTGTAGGATTCCAGCACATCGTGTCAAACATTAACAGAGTGATCCAGACCTGCAGCTCTGCTCACCATCCTACATCTCCATCCGTCGGGAAGGGGTTGATTTCCATGGCTACATTTAAGCTATGCCATTTACGTGGAGATGTGACAAAAACTGATGTCCATTTTTTAAAAACAACATTGGTCTTCGGTGTTTTTTTCTCACCTGACAGCCGAGGGAGTCTCTCTCCTGTCTCATAGAGGGCACACCCTCTTCCAAATCATCCCATGCAATTGTTGAGAAAGCTGCGACAGAAGAAAACAGTGGGACCCCTGAATGCATTTATGCGCTCAAAGTGACTTAAAGGCACTAATCCTGAAATTCAGCCATTGTGTCAGGGTGAGCTTACCTTGTTCGATGATACATGGAAACTCAACATACACAGTGACGGGACTGCTGCTTCTTGGCACAAGCACTTTATCCTGTGGGTAGAAAACACTATAAAAGTCTTTCCCACTGCACAGAGAAGCTCTGTGTTTTGTGAAAAGGCAAATATTTCAAACCGTTTTGTTTGTGACAGCGTTCGTCCATTTTTGCCTCACTTGGTTGGGACAAATACCATCAAACGTTTTTCTGTCTCTTTGCATCTCGATGAGCTAAGCTCCGTCTGCAGAACTAGGAGGACATGATTTGATTTAGAGCTGATATACTCGACGTTCTCCCGGTCTGCGTTTCTTCATGCCGCGGTTTCACACTTTCGACCCAATCAAATGCACCTATTTGGTCTCCAGGGAGTAACAGCGTCCTCGGAGATTAAACGGGTGCAGACTAACGGTTTTCTGGTCTGAAGTGTAACAGTGGTGCCGCGCGTAACGGCGCCATTAGGCTACAGCAGGTGTTCCTTGTCTCAGACCTGCTTTCCTTGAGCATTCAGCTAGATAGTCCCTGTGCCAGATGCTGGCTATGGTTTCTTTTGGACATACTGAAATGTTTAGAAAAATGCCTTAGGCTCATGGGTTATTGTATGGCGTACATAAACAACAGATGTTGTGCAGGCTGAGCGTCACAAAATAAAGTCGCCAAAATATCTTATTTTATAATTATATGTCGTAATAATTATTACATATTTTATGTAATTATAAATAAATCCTCATCAATTTATTTAATAGCATTTTTGCGACCAGAACAGTCAGTGCGTAATTTCCATCTTACTGTGCGTAAAATATCTAATTAGCTTAGGTACAATCCTTCTGCTACAGTTAAAGAGCAGGGGAAAAGGAAAAGGGCAATTACAGCCGACAGCTCAGTAAACAGTCGTGACAAATGCCTCTATTAGTAAACAAACAAGAGTACCCTTAACGCTGAATACACCTGTGTGGTCGACACTGTGTCAGCAGGTCGAGCTGCCACGCGTAATGGATTATCAGATAAAGCCCCTCGATTGACCAAACTGGGTTGGCACAATTCAGTTTCACATAATATAGCCAAGGGTAAACAAAAAACGAGGGTAAACGGACTTCCAGGCAAACAAGCACAATAGCCCGTGTTGGAGAGCCACAAGAGTCAGTACATTGAGGAAAGTAATGTTACACACAAGGTCTTATCCTCACATTTACAGCACTTTCATGGTCGTGTGTGTTTCTGTGTGTGTGTGTGTGTGTGTGTGTGTGTGTGTAGGGTGGGGCTATTAGATTTATACTTGTAAAAAACGTGCTTTCTGGGGTGACATTTTGTCATCAGTCATTTAATACTGCAGTGCTGTGAAAACTGAGACTCCACTTCCACGTCTATTAAAACACAAAGAATTTGCAAACAGACATTCAACTGCTTTTTCTCAGGTGTCATGATTACCTATGCATGTAATCAAGGCAGATTTTTATGTTTTTGACTCACATGTATTCTTTAAGTTGTCATTTTAATTAATTTTATTCTGTTTCATATGATAGTCAAAATTATTTTAGCTGCATTCTTTGTGGTAGCTCACACTTCGTGTGGCTTATAGTTGATTTATTTCAACAGTTAACATAAGTTGCGATGAAAAAAAACCGTAATTTTTCACAATAAGTTTAGAAACAAATGCGTTTGAAGATGATTTTAATTAACTGTAGCAATAAATTCATTACAACACATTTTTCTTCATTAAAGATGTTCCAAAACTAACAAAACTCATAAACCCGCAACAAATAAACTGGCATACAGAGGATTCTGACTTTTTGTTAAAAATAATGAAAAATAAAAATTATATTTCAATATACTTCATAATTATATAGTAAATTATCTTAAATAAATAAAAAGCAATACTAAATCATAAGCATCCTGTAGCTGTAAACGGTTGACTGTCTATGAGGTATGTATAAGTAAAAGTAGGTCTGCATAAACACAAGAATTCTGAGCACCAAAACCCCCCAAATAGATATCTTATCCTCACTTCTTTGTTTAAGATATAACACTATAACCCAAAATTAAAGAGGAATTTCAATTGCTGTTATCAAAAAAATCACACTCATGTAGTCACATAGTAGACATCACATCCAATGTCTCCAGGTTTAATGACACCAACAGCTTCAGGTTGTCTGTGCATTCCTGCACTAGACTCTGTTTGTCGCTGTCATCCTTCACTGCTAGTGAGTCTCCCTCATAATGCTGAGAATTGCCTGTTGGCTGAAAAGAAACTGACTGTGTGCATAGTTCATCCACAAAACTGTCCCACTGATCTTCGTGTGAATGGATGGTTTCATGCTCAGGAACACCTCGTTTACTTTTCAGTAACTCACTAGCTACTCTCAGTGCACAGCTGGCAGTCAGTGATGGAGGGTATTTGTTGAAAGCATAGTCTGCAAGAGTCAGCTCACAAACATTTTGTGCAAGGTTGCTGCACTGCCTGGGCACTTTTGTGTCAGGATTCATCCTTGAAATCCTGTCATCACCTTTGTTCCCAGTCACTAGCTGTGAAGCCTCAATGCAGTTGGTGTAATAGTCTAGAAAAAAGGCCAGGGTGGGTGCAGAGAGGCGGAAGTTAAGACGAAGCAGGATGAGACACTCCAGGTTGCAGAGCTGCTCTTTGGTGAACACATCACAGCACAATGACAAGAGGTGGCTGATTCGTGGTGAGCAGACCTCCACCTGCAGAGGACAAAGAAAAGGATAGTAGAATGATATCCAAAAACACAAACCGTCTGCTCCACGAGCATACCACACAAACCTGTTTACTGGCTAGGAGAAGTGCGGTGACACCAATGAGCTGGAAGCAGTCAGCAGCAACAGGTGTGGAGGCCAGGAACCTGTCCATGATGTTTACAGCCAAGCAGCAACACTCGAAAGACAGACGGAAATGTTTGTGCACAGGGATGAGCCAGCTGACCAGCTTACAGCGGGCCTCTGCAGTCAACTGTAAGTAAAACACACACTCATCAAAATAAAAACTTTTAGTGACCTTGGTTCTTAAATATGATGTGCTCTTAATGTACAGCAAGGTATATATTTTCTGGCATTTCACAGTACAGTACCCTACATATTATCAGTAAATGGTCCTAAAATCGTCATGTATTCTGCATCTCAGGTGTTTCTTTAGTTGAACAATAGAACTAATTAGTATCTGGAAGTCACTCTCACTGGAACATTTAACTATCTGCCTTTAAACAAAAGGAGTGAATTACCAGTTTAATTTATATGACAACAAATATATTTACATTTTTTTAAGTAGCCCAATAAGTCAAAAAAGTATAAATATACGTCTAACACGGTTCATTTAGTTACAAGCTGTATGTGTCTTACTTGCGGTTGGCGTGCCAGGCTTTTGCAGGGATGAAACTGCGCCTCTTTCTCCCTTTGGATCATAAACCCGATGTCTCCGTACTGAAGGTACCAGCTGCAGAGTTGCCTTGCAACAGGTTTTTGTGACATGAGCAGGGAAATCTCATTCTTAGCTGGGGATGAAATCGGGGAGCATGCCAAATCTTCTTCAAAACCAGAGTCTCTTAATTTGGACACGAGTTTCTGTTTTCTATTCCGAGCAGTTTGGCGCTGTTGAGCCAGTGTGAGAGTTTCTGGAGAAGGAGAGGCGACGTTCATTCGGCTCCTTTTGAAAACACTGTCGAAACCACCTTCACAGTTCTCAAAAGACACCATCTCCAGTGTCTGACTAGAGCCGGTTTGCACACACGCTGTTAGGCCAGCGACTGCGTATTTAGGCTACTGAGAGCAGTGCGTCCACAGCAGCAGTCTCCTGGATGCTGGTTTCTGGATTTAGTGGGGAGTTCTCTCTGATGACGTCAGTTTTCGCGGGGTCTTCCCCGCTCAGGCAGCTCGCGGCTCTCCTGTGACCCCGGGCAACCAAAGCTAAACAATCACTGGCACCATCTAATTAATTATCATGAACCATATGTTATACTCTTAAGTCTATTACACGAGAGAGAGAGAGAGAGAGATTAGAAGACAATGGATGCCTTGCCCTTTAACTTTTTGTAGAAAAAACATCAAATTACTTGGGCTTATTATTTTATAGAATGCCTACATATTAAATGTTCACATGTGAAATGTATATGAAAAAGTTTACATTTTATACATGTATTTTTCTTCTTGTTGTTCTTCCTATAATCATGCTAACATCAGAAAATTATTAACAACAATAACAACATTATAATTTCAATTCTACTACAAAAATGTGAGCAGTGTATAAAGTTCTTAATATTCATCTCCTAAGTATTAAAAATTTAATTTTTGTGCAATATATCAGTCTTTTTCTTTTTTGCGGTGGGCGGAACACGGCCGGTGACGACTAGAAAATAAACGGCTCCTATGTCACCTTTCAAACTCTAGTGCAAGACAAGAGAGCGTGCCAAGTCAGAACTGAACAAGGCTTCAACTATGTCCTCTGTGCACTAGCGGGAGGTATTTTGATTCATTTAATAATACACGTGTATAGTACAAGCTAGCGTGTAATTAATGGCTGCCTTTATCTCAGCTGTAGGCTGGGCAGCTCGACAAAAACTGCAAGAAACAGGGACGATAGCCGCTGCTAGCTGTTACCCTTAAGTGCCTGTGCTAGCAAGCTAAGTATGTGTAGCTAACGTTAGCATTGCTGTAACTGTGTTGCAGCAGGAGCTAACAAGTGCGGTTATTAGCACTTATTTGTTGACGAGTTGTAAGGCACTGAGGTGGCAAAGTTATAAACCGCCAGCTCGAGGAAGTAGAAGAAGTAACAGTAGAGTCAAATAATAACGCTGCTGAAGCTAGGTAAGCTAGCTAACGTCTACACCATGTCATAATCTCACAATCCTGTAGTTTGGGTTAGCCTTTACGTGTGTGCGCAAACTATTTCAGCTAACTAAGCGGCTGTTATACTAAAAATAGTGACGTAAAAATGTTGACACTTAAAACAAGTTTTTGGTTTTTTTTATTTTTATTTTAGGAATGTCAGCGTTCATGGCCATTGAAAAGGGTTAACTGTTAACCCGAGTTTGCAGAAGTCAGCCAGTGTTTTAGAGAGGTTAATATTACCGTTTTTATCACCTGCTACCTATTGGCTCAGCATTTTCGAGTAGGTGCTGAGCTGCAAAAAAAAAAAAAAAAAAAATGCGGCATCGCCTATATAAGTTGTGCAACAGTCTGGTATGGATTACATGGCAAGTTGTGAAAATTGTGAGCAGTTACAACCAATATACGTTTTTCTACATGCCAAAATAAAATGAACTGAAATGGGACACTGCTTCTTCAAACAAGAGACTTCTGCCAAATGCAGACGTTTGGCAGATCTCTTGTAGCACAGTTTGTGTTTGTGCTGTTTTGATTACATAAGAACTATTACCACATTAACTGGACATTTTATCTTGCAGTTTTATCACAGCAGTGTATCATGGAAAACTCTGGCAGGCCTTACCGGGCTAAGCAAGGCGGCAGGGAGAGGGGGGCGGCAGCAGCAGCGGCAGAGAAGGGAGAAAACTGGTGGATGCAGGACCAGGTGCGAGGACAGAACTTCAGATCAGATGGAGGCCAGCAGGCCAAGAAAAATCAAGGTGGGCCTTACAGGGCCAGCCCTAAGAAGGGAGGACTGGGGCCCCTAAGCCACTCTCCTAGTGGATTAAGAGGAGGCCACAGCCCCTCACAGAGAGATGATGTCCGGTGGTTCTCAGGTCCTCAGGAAGATAACTGGAGAGAGCGCCCGCAGCAGAGCTGGAGGAGGGGTATGCAAGGAGAAAGTCCAAAGGAGGACAGGGAACAGGGAAGGAGAGAAGCCACGGATGATGGTTTTCAAAAATCAGGTAAGGGTTTGGAAGTCAGTCTCTGCAGAAGGAATGAAACACTTTCAGCTTTATCACTAAGTCTATGTTGAAAACAAACTAGAAATTCATACTTCCCCCTGCATTTCTCATTTTCAAAGGTAAAAGACGGCGTAACAGAAACAAGAAGAAAGCTTTTGCTGAAGAGAACAGGGGCTTTGTGATTGAAGAGTCCACACTCTCAAACAAAGAGCTGCGCAGCCTACGGCAAGCAGAGAGGCGGCTTAACAGGGACGAGATCTACAGCCTAAAGAAGGTACAGACCCTAAAAGCCGTAAGAGGTGATGTAATGTTTGAGTTGGTTGGTGCAGGTGATTTACAGATATTTCTAACGGTGTAATTTTTTTTGTGTGTGTGTTGTACAATTGTTTTAGAGGTCCCACAGCAACCCTGCTGCTCTTTACAACTGTGCCCTGTGTGATGTTCTCCTAGAGTCTGTGTCTGAAGCTTACAAGCATATTCGGGACAAACGGCACAAGAGAAGGGCCAAGGTTATTTTACATTTACCGTATATAGATTGTGTTACTGTGTTGCTATTGTGGAGTAGTAGTTTTTATGCATTAAAGGCTGTGATCAAGACCCCTTTCCTGTATTTGCATGTTGGCTTATAGGAGCGACAAGAGCAGCTGATGCTGACTGAGATCCTGCCTCCTAGTCCAGAGCAGATCAGTGCCATAAGTGCAGTACTAGACGCTGTTGTCCAGGAACATGGTCTGAACGACCTGGACGTTGAGAAGAGACTGTGTGTTGTCTCCACCATGCAAGATCTCCTCCTGTCTGTTCTGCCTGGTAAGACACATAAAGAGGAAAGTTCACGATATACAACTGTACTCTTTCAGTATTATTAAAATCGTAGCAATATTTACCTGCTTTCTCTCATCTATAGAGGTCCGACTCAGGCTTTATGGATCATCTTGCACTAAATTTGGATTCAAGGATTCTGATGTCAACATTGACATTCAGTATCCAACTCACGTGAGTAACACAGTGTGAGTTCATGATGTGTGATACAATTTTATTGTATTTTTATGTTAATTTTATATATGTTAATATTTTAATGATATTAATGTTAAAAATTAAAACTGGAGGCCTGTCAGGAGAATAATAGCTAGGGGAAGAAGTCTTTCATCTGCATGTATATGTTACAAGTTACGTGGGTTTAGGGTGACATTATTTAAGGGAACAAATACAAGAGATGACAGCAAAAATATTAGTATATGGCAAAGGTAAGATGTGTGGGTGGGGGGAAAAAATATAATTTCACTTGATTTTAGATTTCACAAGTTGTGTATGCTGTGCTTGTAGCATGCACCATAATTATGTTCTTTTTAATATTATATTTATGCTGTATAAAGGCTTTGAAATGGAATGTATTCACAGATGCATCAGCCAGATGTCTTGATGTTGGTTAAGGACTGCCTCTCTGTGAGCTGTGAGTTTTATTTTCATTTTAGACTCAAGAGTCTTGAATAAATCTTTCAGACATGGTAAAGTCAGTCATGTGCTTGAGTGTCATGGAAAGTTTAAATTGTGTTGTGCTATTCTCAGCTCTGTTTGTTGAGATGGAGGCGGATTTTCATGCCAGGGTGCCTGTGGTCATCTGTAAAGAGAGAAGTAGGTCTGTATCATTTGCAGTTACATGGGTTTTTCTTGCATGTGACAAGAGAATATTAACAGTACTCATACCACAACAGCATAAAACTCCAAATTAAAATTAACTTATTTTTTGTCGTCCCCCCCCCCCCCCAACAGTGGTCTAATCTGCAAAGTTAGTGCAGGGAATGAAAACGTGTTCCAAACCACCACATATCTTTCTGCCCTGGCGACTCAGGAGCCTCTCCTCATGCCACTGGTTTTGGGCTTCAGACGCTGGGCCCGGGTATGTTTCTAGTAGACAAAGACTTGTTCCTCACATTAGCAAAGGCATCAAAACTATTCACTCATTTCTTTTTTTCAAAGTTGCATTTGTTCTTAACATCATTTTTGGCTTTCTGTTAAGATCTGTGAAATTGATCGCACAGAAGAGGGGAGTCTACCACCATATGTCTTTGCCCTTTTGGTTATCTTCTACTTACAGAAGCGCAAAGAACCTCTCTTGCCTACCTATTTCAACCAAGATGTAAGTCTTTTTTTCATTTCCATCCTTAAAAAACAAACAAACAAACAAAAAAACATATTAGTTTGCTTTTCATTATTGGCTCTTTTTAGGAATTTTTTGGAATAAACTGATGCAAACATCTGCCCATCTTTAGATCAAAGTGTTTTCTCTCAGCCGGCTGTCAGACTTCAACCTTACTCATACAGAGGATGGGTATTTACACTGGGCCTACACCCCTTCCTCCAAGGAGTCATCTCAACCAGCAGAAGGCAACTCCATAAAGGGAAAGGTAATCATGAAGATGGACACACATAAATAAACTGAAAGACTTCCAAAGAACAGAAAATATAATTTTGACTTTTATTTGGAGACAGGTTTTTGTTTTTTGTTTTGTTTTTTTTAAAAGGCTGTTGAATAAATTGGAAACTTGAGTGATAATTTTTCAGACTCGTAGTAATATAAGGCTGTCTTGCAGGTTCCGCTGGTGTTTCAAAGTCCTCATCCACCAGTGGAAGTTGGACTTCTCTGGGTCGAAATGCTTCGCTTCTATTCCCTGGAGTTCATCATGGCTGACAATATAATCAGTGTGCGGACTGGTGCTGTCCTCTCCCGAGAGATGAAAGACTGGCCTAAAAAGCGGATCGCTGTAGAGGGTCAGAAGCTTTCTTTTATGTTTGAATCATTTTCATGTCTTGATACTTCTGTAAGGAGAAGTGGTCACACAGAATCTGTTTTATTGTTGCTTATTTCTCTGTTGATTCTGTCCAAACCTAGATTTTTATTTCTG